TCTGAAAAAGTCAATATGACTATAACAACCACATAAGATTTAAGTCTTGCAATCATATCATCATACATAAGTTTTTTTGATTTCTTATTTTAAAAATGTTAATGTTACTAAACATAAAATAATAATAATAAATATGTATAAGGGAAACTTAAAAAAGTAAACCATTATATATAATTTAGTTTTAATATTTATAGATTTTTCGAAATTAATTAAAATAACAAATTATCTTAACTTTACTATTTTTGTAAAAGTCAATATTAAAAAAAATTAATTTCCAAAATAAATTATAAATCAATATCAAATATGGAAAACTTAAAAAAATAAAACATCATATGTAAGTTAACTTAATATATAAAATAATTACGAAAATAAGATAAAATAATTACCAAAAATAATTAGTCAAATAATTATCTTAATTTTACTATTTCTTAAAAAAATGAATAGTAATGTATATATATATATATATATATATATTCTATACTATTTAAAATTGAGGCTATAAGCCATCGAAAACTTTCACATAGAATTTGAAAAAACCAATCATATCATGATACATAATTTTTTATTTGTTATTTAAAAAAATGTTAACGTTGCCAAAACTATAATTTCAAAATAAAAAATAAATATGTATCAGGTAAACTTACAAAAGTAAAANTATATATATATATATATATTCTATACTATTTAAAATTGAGGCTATAAGCCATCGAAAACTTTCACATAGAATTTGAAAAAACCAATCATATCATGATACATAATTTTTTATTTGTTATTTAAAAAAATGTTAACGTTGCCAAAACTATAATTTCAAAATAAAAAATAAATATGTATCAGGTAAACTTACAAAAGTAAAAACATTATATATAAGTTAACTTTACTATATTACAGATTTGTGAAATTAACATTAAAATAACTAATTATCTTAAATTTGTTATTTCTTAGAAAAAGAAATAAAATGTAAATCAGTATAAGCTTAATATATAATGTTTAAGCCATAAATCAATAATAACAAAAATGATCTATTTCAAAATAAAATGTAAATCAGTATCAAAATTTGATAAACTTACAAAAGAAAAAACATCATATATAAGTGAGGTAGTTAACTAAGTACATAGAAGAGTTTTAAAATTAACATAAAGTAAATACCAAAAGAATTTGGCAAATGACTATCTTAATTTTGTTATTTCTAAAAAGGTGAATGGTAACAAAAATCTGTACTATAACAAATATGTTAATATTAAAATTTTATACAATTTAAAGAGAGAAAAAAATGATATTTTCTGAGTACAGAGCAAAATTATATATTATGCTGAAGTTTAATCTTTTATTTTGTTTAAAAAAGATATAAAAAATGTATGATGAAAATATTATAACGTGTTAAAAGTTTACATGTATTGAGAAATCTATTTAATATTTTAAAATATAAATTAATATTTCCAAAAAAATATGAATATGTTTAGAAACATAATTATTATATTTACAAATACAAATAACTAAATAGCTAATAAGATAACATAATTGTAAGAAAACATAAATACAAAATTAAAGATTATATTTTAAATAAGAAAATTATATTACTCAATTAATATTTTAGTTTTAAGTTATTTTAATTAAACGAAATTATTAAAACAGACTCGCGCGTAGCGCGAGTATAAAATCTAGTGCCTTTTCAAATGGAAGAGATAACACGTGTCTTAAGAGAAGTAACTAAACGATCCACCATTCGCGTGTTTCATGGGCTTAACTCTTATCATATAAATGGGCTTACAGGCTTTAAGAAAACATAATAAACCTCACATCGTATGATCTCTCCTTAATTAAACTTAGGCACTAACTAACATTAAAAACAATATAAATGAAAAAACCAAAGTAATCAAAACAAAGAGCATACACGATACTGTTTCTTTTCAATCTGATAAATGGTGTAATGTCTAGAGAAACATTTCTCTCAAACTTTAGAAATTATAAAATGTGTCTTGAAAATTGTAGACTTCGTGTAATATATGTATATACTTATTTATATAATACATATATTTCAGTTATTTTGGATTATAATTCGGATTTCGGATTAAACTGAACTCATACCCGATACCAAAATATCATCATATCAAGATTGATCGGATATTTTGATGGATTTATAACCGATCGGGTTCGGTTTTTGGATTATGGATAATATGCCCAGATCTAACTAATACTCTTGATCATCATGCCATGCCGAACTACTCATATTCTACATGGTATTATTGGTTAGTATATTTTAAAATGGATTTGAAAATCTAAACTAGATTTAGTATTATTGATTCTACAATTTAAAATCTCTAACAAAATGATGGTTTTATGATTTATAAATTTAATTCAAATCAGATGTTATTCACTCGTACAGATTTACTAATAGATTTGATTCATAATAAATTTGAATGAATTTATATGGATTTCTTTGTTAAAAATACAAAGATTTAATCCTGAAAAAAAATCAGATTTGTAAATACAATTTAAAATTTATATATTTTTGTCAGCTTTAAGATTTATATCTTAGATTTGAAAATTTATATATGTTACTTGGATTTTTAATTATTATAGGAATTTCTAAATCAATCAAAATACATAAACCAATAACAACTCCTTAGATCTTACATTTATAATTAGTGTATTATGTGAAATTTTAGCTTCTCCTTACTTTACACTCTAACAAGTAAGCAAATAGGACCTTTTGAAGCAACATAAGCTTTAGTGTGTTTGATTTGTGTTTTTTAAAAAATGACTTAGTGTGTTTTGGTATTGGAAATTTTCTTTTACAGAAAATTAGATTTGTTAGACATAAATTCTCATAAAAAATATTGTTATTTGCTGAATCAGTCATTTAATAATTCTAGTAACAATAATAAATTAGTGTTAGTAATTAATTAGAACAATAATAAAACAACTTTCTTACTGAATGATATTATTGTAACAAATCCACAAACTAACATAAACCTGATAAAACAATTAAAGTATTAAAGTTTTAAAGCTCTTGAAATTCAACCAACATTCAAAGGAAGCTTAACACATATATGTTTCACATAGGAGTCTTACCAGAACTCTCCAAGTCATTAACATGCCCAAACCTCATAGGATACTCTGGGAACGGCTTCACGTTGCTGAACACACTGTTCCCTAAACCCCACTGCACTGGTTCCATATAATCTGCCTTCTGTACCATCGGAGCATACTGACCATCCGAACAGCTCCCGTAGAACAAGGCTTGATTCATCTCCGGTTCTGTCCCATTTGAGAAGGACGCAACAGCTTCCCCGGTGTTCGATGTCATTTGGTTAAGAAACGGGAGAAAGGCGAAACCGTTCTGCTCCATTGACGACATAGGAAACAACTGATGCTGCTCGAGACATGGCTGATTATAACCAACGAAACCAAGTTGCTCATGATGAGTAGACCAAGAAGCTTCAGGAAACGTCTGGTTCCTATTCGCAGCTTCTTGAATCTTGTTACAAACTGTCATGAAAGCCGCGTATAGCTCGTTTAAAGAACACTTGTCGAGCTTCTTGTCCCACGGACAGTACTTCTCTTTCTCCACCTTGATCTTACTTTTCTCCAAGCATTCTTGCACAGAGTAAGTCTTGGTGCAGCTGCTCGAGGCGGTGTCTCTGTACTTGCTTATGATCTCTCTGACTTTGCTTTCATCCTTGGGCCATAACTCGGGGCGGTCGATCCTCTCGTCCCCTGCTCTGGCCGGGCCATACACGATGAGACATGTGTTGACGCCACAAAGTGTTGAGAACTCATTTGCTTTCTTGAATAAACATTCTTTCCTCTTCCTGTAAGTTGTTATCCTTGTCTTCTCGTTCGTTATCCTCGTCATCTTTACCATTTTCCTACCCATTCAAATACTGAAAGAAAAATCAAGCGTAAACAAAACAAAAGAATCTAAAATTTGCAATTAAACATTTAATTTTCATTCTGATAACCATAAAAGTTTCTATACAAAGTGGATCAAAAGTATTTGGTGATCACACACAATCTTGATTTTGATTACGAGTTCATATAACATTTCAAGAATCCCATCAACACTAGGGTTGGACATATAGAATGGAGTTTATTTAGTATCAGTAATCATCATCATCTTCAAACACACAAACTGAGTTATATATGTTTCTTAAAAATATGGACAATGGTTAGTTCAAAAAAAAAAAAAAAATATAGACAATGGTGGAGTAGAACAACGAGATTTTTAATCCTAAAAAGGTAGCATCGTATATAATCAGAACCCTAAAAACTTGTCTGTACAAAATTCCAAAATCCAACTAGGCCATATATATGTAATGAAATGGAAATCAATAATGGAAAATTACATATATTCGTATAAAAGTAAAGAAGGCAAAATACCTTGTGGAAAGTTGATAGCTCTAGTTTCTGAAGTTTCTTTCTCGATTTAACAATGGAGTTCCTCTTTTCGTGTTTATATATATTGTACACGTAAGAAAATATGCTCTCGAATATTATCTCTTACCCTAATATGGAAACCTTGCAGATATTTTACTTCTTTCCAAGCAAGTATATTAAAGACGAAGTTGAGTTTGATGACTAAATGCTCGTATTAAGCCATTAAATCAAGGAAAATCATATAATTCGTAGGGCGTGATCATGATAAAAATATTCGTTTGTGATTTGAATCAATTGATTTCCTCAAAGTTTCCATTTCTGACGTCCTTTTCCTTTAATACTAAACCATTGTTTTGTCAATATTTACTCTTCCTTTACTATTTTTGCTTACATTGATTGACTAAACCATTGTTTTGTCAGTATTAACTTTACGAATGGGTAGGCAAATTACAATACCTAAGGAACAGTATTTTCCCTCTAAACCATTGTTTTGTCAGTATTAACTTTACGAATGGGTAGGCAAATTACAATACCTAAGAGCATCCCCACCAGTGATACTGAGGTGGGGTTTGCCACCTGTATTTTTTTTTTTTTTTTTTAATTTTTTTTTATTTTTNAAAAAAAAAAAAAAAAAAAAATTGGCGAATCACGGCCCGCCACGTGGCGAACTCTTGACGAACCGGGTTCACCACGACGAACCCACGCGCGCCGAGTTCGTCACTGTTTTCCTCAGTAAACGTGTGAACCCCCCCTTAAATCCTCTAATGGGGGTGCTCTAAGGAACAGTATTTTCCCTCGATAACAAACCCATAATTCAAAAGGGGCACAAAAGCAGAAGCACCATTTAAACTCCAAAAGAGCATGTACATTGAATCATTGCTAGTTTTTTCAGTGAATATCTAACAATTAATAAATTAAAAAAAAGGAGAAAAACAAGAAAGTGTCTTAGATCATAAACCACATCAGGTAATAGTTTCGGCCATTAGATACATTAGAAGCATGTGTGTAATTTAATGATGGCTAATTATATAAAGAAAATTGGAGATTTAATTTTATATTTTTATAAACTAACATTTTGTTTATAATTAAATTTATATATTTTATAAATGTCATTATATAATTAGTTAAATATTTTCAAGTCATATACATACGTATTAAACCCAAATCAAATTAGGTACTATAGTTATTTTTGTTTATTTGTTTATTTTTAGTTTAGATTCAAAATACTCGAATCAAATCGGTTAATATGGTATTTTTTGTATAAATATCCGAGCATGTTTTGAATATATCAATTTATTAGATATTTTAATATTTTCATACATCAAAACCGAATTCATATGTACTCTATATTCAAGCAAGACAATAAATGAAAATATTATTTATAAAAATATTTAAAAATATAATAAATGAAATGATTTTTTTACGGTTTGTAATTTGTAGTTTTGGCGGGTAAACGTGATTTTTCGGTTTGGACGGAAAAACATAATTTTGCAATTTTAGTGAAAATGTGATTTTTCGGTTTTGACAAGATAACATGATTTGGAGAAAAAGATTTTTTTGGGTTTTCAATAAAAAGTGATTTTGTGAAAGGAAATATATTACATGCGTCTATTTTTTAATCGAGTTTAACAATTGACTATCCAAATTGTTTAAATAGTCGTGTCAACATAATATAAGAACTAAAACAACCATGTTCGAAAATTAAAGAATTTTTAGCTCAATAACAAATTGGATACTTTTATTGCTATAATTTTAAAGTTCATGGTTTTAGTAATTGTTTTTCCTATATAATAGTATATGAATGAACTAGATATAAAATCATTGTTGATCCCTAGATTTCTTAAGTACTAAATAGAACATAAAATTTAATTCACTTGCAACCATTAGGTTTTTTTTTTTTGAAACACAACCATTAGGTTATACAAACATTTATTTATAAGTTATAACTTTGGACATCAGTAACCCGTTCGAGTAACCAGAACAGAAATTGTCACACACATATGAGAAAATACATCTGGACCAACCAACAATCAACCATGCATTGTATATAGTTTTATTTTATTCATATTAAATAGACATAGACTCATACAGCGTGGTCTGTATACAAGTCTAACCGACCCTAGGGACTTCGACGACGGTACCTTTGGCTCCTTTCTTAACATAGACTCTGACCCGGTCGCACCTGAAGTCTCCAGTCACCGGAGATCCAGCCAAAATCACAACTGCGTTCACTGACGGGTTCTCGCTTTCGATCACCGAAACCGCATAGCTCCCATCTGTTCCCAGAAGCTCCGGCCATGAGGTCTTCCCTGCACACGCAATGAAAGCAACCACATTGCATTGGTCGGTTAGTTATTTACATTTTAGAGATCAATAAGTCCATCACTCGATTTCCATGTAATTAATTAAAGCAATATAAATGAGAACTTTGAATTTGTAACAATAATATCAAATTATATGCAATAAGAAAAATTACCCGTACACTCGGACGACATTTTGCTTCCACTTTTATCTTTACAATGTTGTAATATATTTGATCTGCTCGTCTTTGCGAGTTTGTGTCCAATTTATAGAAACGGAGACGTCTATGTAGTCGGTGGGCATTTGCAGATTCAAAGTCAAAAAAATTGGCTAACGATTTTAAAATACACTCCTCTCATTTGTATAAATAATCCCGTAAATAAGCTTTGAGTCTTTGACACGTTTTCGTCAAGCTGTTGATATATATTTTAGTCGATATTCAAGATTAGTGCTTATTTGGATTGATGCTCTTACAAGTTATTGTTTTCTCTAATCAATACCGATCGATCCACAGCGAGATAACGTTTCCAACGCATATATTATATTGAAAGAAAACGAATTTTGTGAGGAGATATTCCTGATGCTTCTGTTTACATTTACATTTTATATTTTGTGATTTTTTCCACAACTTACTAGAAACGCTTCTACGTATAGATCATTTCTTTTAATTAAATCATGTTACGTATTTGCTTATACGTATACTGTTATAATTATATGCATTGGTCAACTAGCTTTTTCAATTTTTTTCTCCAATAGATTATCACTTATAAAAATATGAATAGTTTACAAGATATGATTAGATTTGGAACTTGGAAGGTTTATGTTCTTTAAATTAACTTGTCTGAAAGGCACTATATAAAATAAAGATACGGTCGACCATTATCATGCATGGTCTGATTGTCCCCATTCTACCGCCACGACTTAACTTATTCAACTCAAGTAGGTCTATATGCTCATACTGAAATGTACAATCAAGAACAGAACAATGAAAATTAAAATGACTAGCAAGAAATTATCCCACATTTGTTATTCAACAAAGTGTGACGAACTTCAACCGTGATATCAGCCACATGTATGCTTAAAATAATTTGTTGGAAGCACAAATATGCAGTGTTTTTTTGTTTTTGTTTTTTAACAGTCGTTATCCCATGTAAACTATATATAGGCTATTATCATATATCCTGAACTCTTCTATAGTTCTATAACATAGCAAGACAATGTGCAACGTTTGCACACGTCTACAAAAGAACTCGCATAACGCAAAACAAAGCCGGATGCGAACAACCAAGTGAAGTGAAGATTTCGCTATTGAGACCCAAACCATTATTGTAGACCCATCTTGGGTACACACCCATTATTCCTTCTTTTCTTTTTTTTTTACAAAGACCACACCCATTATTTCAGACAATCCTTTTAAAGAAATATAATAAACCCATAAATCAAAAGCAAACATCTAACCGAAAATCTTGTCATCTTCATTACATTCGAATAAATCAAGTAGAGTTTAGCCATTTGATGAGCAAGAGACTGAAATTGATATCAAAATATGAATACGGAAAGATTAGGAGGTTTAGTTTACATAATTACTATACGTGAGACATTTATTGTCTAGATAGTATTGATTACTTATTGTACCAAAACACTCCAAAACCGTATAGAGTTGGTGATGGGAGCGAGTGAGCCCTAGCCGGCGAGTAGCATGGGATCTGTTTCGAATGGATAATTTACATCCTTATCCACTACGGGACGATATGTTCCCACGTCAGCAAAATTGTACATTCAATGGATTTTTCTTTTGCCAAGATTCAATAGATTTGTTTCCTTCTAATAATTCTGTTAAAATGTAGTTATAGTAAATGCTACTCAAGTCCTCCTAGTTTTTTTTTTCTTTTATAAAACACATAACAGGATTCACACTATTAGTTTCATTTCATGTTGCACATTGTATACAAAATATTCATTTTCACAAGCTTAAAATCAAATTATGTCTAATTAAATCATCAAATTCGCCAAGATTTGCAACAAGTAAATATTTTTTTTTCAGTTTATGGTAATTTCACTAATTTATTTCATACAAATAAACTATAGGTACATGTATAAAACGAAAGTTAAACACTAAATGGGTCGGTTATAGGATCTTTGAAACATATATGTGCAAAAACGAGAAAAGAAAAAGAAGAGGACCAAAGGTAAATTGTAAAGATAAAAATTAAATCAGAAAATAAAATAAAATTAGAGTCGTTAAAAAAGAAAAGTAAATAAAATGTTGCGTTTCAGGTACTTCATCTCCGTCTCTTTTCCTCCGCATCTCAACAATCAGAAAAATATCTCCGACGAAGGAGAAGAGAAACACGAAAATGGCGGAGATTGGAGGAATTGGCTGTGGCTGTCGCGGCGTTTCCGGTGGTAACTTCTCCCATCCCGGAGGCTTCTCTTTGAAATCTTGCTTCCTCGAGCAGAGAACGAGGCGGAATCGAAACTTCTTACGAAGCGTCTCTATCGTTCCTTCTTTCAAACGCGGTCGTTTAATCACTAAATGGAGCTCCGTCGCTGGGAACAGCCCAATCTTCAGGTATTACTCTCTCTCTCTATCGCTGTTACTAAATAATCAATTTGGGGATAATTCGTTTTCAGAAGATTGTATAATCGATTTGTTGTTGATTGAACATGATAACAGTATGGATGCTCGGGAGAAATCAAGATCATTTGTGTTGGTATCATCACGGCACAAGAAAGTCCCTGTTTACGTGATGATGCCTATTGATACATTTGGAATCGATTCTTCTGGCTGCCCTATCATTAAAAGGTTACATCTTTCTCAAAATGTCTCCAATGTATCACTCGTTTTATCAATTACCTGACATGGTATGATAGTTGAGAAAAAAAAAGAAGCTAGACAACTTTGATTGTATATAGTAAGGAACCATTTGAGAAAGAAGACAAGTGTAACTTTTTTTGTTTTTGTTCTTGTTTCAGGCTCAAGGCTTTAACTGTTTCTCTTAAGGCGCTCAAGTTAGCTGGTGTTCATGGAGTTGCGGTTGAGGTTTGGTGGGGGATTGTGGAGCGTTTCTGTCCTCTTGAGTTTAAATGGTCGCTCTACGATGAGCTCTTCAGGCTGGTTTCTGAGGCAGGGTTGAAGTTGCACGTTGCTCTTTGTTTTCACTCAAATATGCACTTGTTTCGTGGTAAAGGAGGTGTCAGTCTTCCACTCTGGATCCGAGAGGTTTGTATTGCTAGGTATTTAGTTATTTGTACGTTGTAGATATAGCAAAAGCTTTGGTAATGTGGATATTAAAGGTGGAGAAAATGTGATAGCTTTTTTTTGTTCCTATAATTTTCTTTTAAAGGTGGAGAAAATGTGATTGCTTTTTTTTGTTCCAGGAAAACTTTAGATTTATGTTACATAATCTTGATGCTTGCTTGAGTATATTGTCTTTGGTAGGAGATGTACGTATACTTATTGCTCTGGTAATTAGCTTCACCCAACTGTTTTTTCTTATACGATTGTTTCCAGATTGGGGATGTTAATAAGGATATATACTATCGAGATAAAAACGGATTCTCCAATAATGACTACTTGACACTTGGAGTCGATCAACTTCCTTTGTTTGGTGGTCGCACTGCCGTCCAGTGCTATGAAGATTTTATGCTCAGCTTTTCTAAAAACTTTGAACCATATTTTGGACACGTGATTGAAGAAATAAGCGTGGGTCTTGGTCCTTCTGGGGAGCTTAGGTACTTGTGATTCTCTGTAGATTACTAATCATAAAGCCATAATCGCTAGAACTGAAATTTCTTTCAATGTATTTCTTCAGATATCCTGCACATCCTTTGGGAGATGGGAGGTGGAAATTCCCTGGTATTGGTGAATTTCAGTGCCATGACAAATACATGTGAGTAGTTCTTGATTCAAAGTCCTTACTTTCCTGCGAATTACTACAAAATGTGAGCTATATTACTTGGTTTAGGATGGAAGACTTAATGGCAGTGGCTTCTCAAGAAGGCAAACCTCAATGGGGAAGCAGAGATCTTCCAGATGCCGGCTGCTATAATAGCTTTCCATCTGGGGTTCCTTTCTTTGAGGAGGGCCATGACAGTTTTCTCTCTGACTATGGTCGTTTCTTTCTAGTATGTTCTCGTATCATAATATCTTTGGCGACAATACTTTAACAGTTTTTGCATTATTATGATCTGGAGTAGTATTCAGCACAAGTGGCTAGTAGGTTGGATTATAAAATGACACAGTGAACTGCTTTACGTTGTAGGAATGGTACAGTGGGAAGTTGATTTGTCATGCTGATGCGATTCTTGCAAAGGCTGCCGATGTTTTGCGGAGACGTCAGGAACAGGAGAAAAGCTCTGTAATGTTGGTTGCAAAAATTGGTGGAATATATTGGTGGTATAAGACATCTTCACACCCTGCTGAACTAACTGCAGGTTATTACAATACCGAACTCAGGGATGGTTATGATCCTCTCGCTTCTGTCTTGTCCCGCCATGGTGCTGCTCTGCATATCCCGTAAGAGCCTCCTCTTTGAAGTTCTCTTTACTGTCTACATAATTAACAGAAGCTGCATGAGATGAGTCTCTCATATCTTTTCCAGGTGCTTGGATATGGCGGACTGTGAAACACCTGAGAAGTATCTTTGCAGCCCTGAAGGACTGCTCAGACAGGTACTTTCCTTTCCTAATGTTTTCATCTAGAATACATTTTCGGTACGTTTCTAGAATGTTAACAGGTCAGTGTCAGCACACTGTTTACAGTCATTGACACATGAAAATGGTTTAGTCTCTGCTTTCTTACTGCGTTGTAACACTAGCTACAATCAAGGATGCTTTAAGAACATGAACAAACCAACATTGTCTGTTTTTTTTTTTTTTTTTGGCTAGATACACGATGTTTCGAAGAAGAGGACAATACAAGTGACTGGAAGAAACACAAGCGAAAGATATGATGTGGTGAGAGGTTTACACAATCTATAATCCTATACGATGAGCCTCAAAAAGTGGTAAATATTAACCGTTTATATATGATGAATCCTGCAACAGATGGGACTAAGGCAAATACGAGAGAACTGCCTGCAACCAAACGGGGAAACTGTAAGATCGTTTACATTTTTCAGAATGAACGAGAAGATCTTTAGGGTCGAGAACTGGAACAACTTTGTCCCTTTCGTTAGGCAGATGAGTGCAGATGTGTAAAACTACAGTAGCCATTGGCGTTGTGTATTTTTCTTTTGTTTGTTACAGAAGTGATCCTTCCTCACCATATTGCTTTTTCAGATATGTGATGAGGATAGATAAATCAAAATCAAAATTGTTATTAAGATATAGTTCTAGTTCCATGGAAGAGACAAAGGTCTTGCAAAAGAAACCTTTCATTGATCAAAAAGTTACATTATCCAATACAGAGAAAGTTCAATCACATATACATTTGGTTCAAAGGACTTGCCTATCAGCAGCATCAGCAACAATGGGCAACCTAGGGATGAGACCAAACAAGCAAGCAGAGAAACCATAGATCAAAGAGACAAGCAAGAAGAGGAACACAGTGCTGTCCAAACTCATCACCACATCCAAACCAAACCCATCTCTGGGATTAAAGCTCCTCTCAAGCAAATCCGGGAAGATCAACAGGACGTCGAGGACAATGGCCTGCATCGTGTTGAACCTAACGTACCTGCTGAAATTCTGGTTTCTGACGACGACGAAGTAGAGAGTGATGAAGATGAGGAAGCCATTGAAAGGGAAGCTTTTGAAGGCCTTGATGGCGGGAAACAGAGGTTGTATGAGGATCTGGAATGGTTGGTATTGCGTGATGATGAATTTACCGTATTGAATCCCGTCGAAGAATGGGTAAAAGTAACATACGGCTGAGATGAGACGATCTGATGCGTCGACGGAATCGTCTCCTTTTGATCGGAGGATGAGTGTGGAGGCTGCTCTTTCCCTTGAAAGTCTTGGTTTTGGGAAGTGGGGATTAGGGTTTGGAGGGAGAGAAGAAGAACGACCGGTTAGGGTTAGGTTTCTGGTTAGAGATGGTAATGGAGAAAGAAGATGAGATATTGTCATTGCTCTGTCTTTTTGCACTTCACACTGAACGGAAGAGAGCTTTGCTCACACTATGATGAGAGGATAATAAACTACACTCCACGCTGTTTGTGAACGTCTACGAAAAACAGTGTGTTGTCTGCAGTCCTTTTAAGTATGGAACTAAACTACACGACGTGTTAAACACCTTTCAAAGCGGCGCGTAGTCATTTTTTGGAGTGAGGTAACAGTTTCTGTTATGTTTCTTTTAAACGCTTCTTCTGCGTTTCGCAAACCGCCAACCGCCAACCGCAAGGCAACTGTCAACATCAGAGACAGCTTCTGGCTCTGCAACTTGAAGTCCAACCGCAAGAGCTTGTATTCCATTGCTTCTAAGGCCATCCCCATTAGGGGTTTTTATGAGGTTCAAAGGAGAGGATTACACAGTTTTCAAGAGAACCTGAGGCTGTGGAGTTCATCTGCAAGGGGCGGGTTCATGCACTGTAGCGCGGGCCCCATGACACGTGGCGGCCCGCCATTGGTCAAATTTTTTTTTTTTTTTTTTTTTTTTGAAAAAGTAAACGAAAAAAAAAAAATTAAAAAAAAAAAAAGAAAAATTCCAGCTGGCGATCTCCACCTCAGTATCACTGATGGAGATGCCCTAACTTATGCCATGCCATTATAGAAGTTGGAATTTTTTTTTTTTTAAACATGGATAATGAAGTAACTATATACTAGAATCTATGCTCAATCTCAACACAATTCATTATATCATATCAACTAACAAACACGTGAACAAGAGCACCAAGAAGAACAAAATTTTTTTTGCTGACTAGTTAATTTTACGGCCAAACATTAAATAAGTAAACCGCAGTAATAGGGCAATCGTGGTTCTAAAAATCGATCTAGGTAGAAAATCTCCTCAAATCAACAAACAAGATTGTATGAAAACAAATACTCCTTATATACATGTGAAAGGTTGATGTTGTAACGTTTCAACATCTCACATTTTAATATTAGCTTATGTTTTATTTATATAATAAAATACATTTTACAACATCAACTTTTTAAATACAAATATTAAAATTAAAACATCACTTATTCAAATCCAAAGTGAGTAAAGAGAAAAACAAAGAAGTGAACTATAAAAGCCAAGAGAAAGCAAAACAAGCAGAGCAAGCACACCACCAAACCAGCCTTAGCTAGCTCCTCCCACGATCCTAACCAGCTTCATCCATGAGCCGACAATATCTCGGCCGGAGCTGGAGTCGGAGCCGACGCAGTATCCGAATGTAAGATACTGCTTATCTGGATAACTGAGAGAGTGTAAGGAATTTCTTCGATGGACTTGACGAAGGAGGAAGATATATCTCCGCCGTCAAGACCAAACCCGACCTTGCCGCCTCTCAGATCCGTTATATTGACGAACCCGGTGGTTCTAGAAGCAGCTCCGGTGGCTTGGAAGAGAGTTGAGGTGAGAACTGAGCCGCCGTCCGTGAGCTGGTGGAGTTTTTTGGCGCCGAAGTAATCGAGGAGGACGTGGAGGGAGAGGATGTTTTTGATAGTGGAGACTGTGTAGCCTTTGGAGGTTAAGTCGGACATGGCGGCGTTGTCGACGGCGCATACGGTTATGGTGGTTCTCTGGTTGATTTCTTCGGCGAGGTGAGTTTGGGTTAGGTAATGGTTGAAGGAGGAGAAAGAAGGATGGTTTTCTAAGAGGAGTGTGACGTTGTGTGCGTTAGTTTCGACGGCGAGGAGGAGGAGGAGGAGAAGGATGGGGAGAATGTAGGAGATGATTACTTGACTCATCTTCTTGGCCATTGTTGATAATGTGGAGAGAGGGATGTGATGAGTGGAAACTGGAGTTTTTATTTTCAGACAGTGAGCTCTGAGTTTAAAACTAACGGGAAAACGAAGATCGTGTATTTATATGGACTTGGAATGTGATTAAATAACTATTTTGCAATTGAGTATATATTTAATATTTTTAGTGGGCATTTGTGATATTATTTTTAATATTTATAACGAAATTTAGCTTATGGGTTTGCAAGGTTATGAATTGTGACCATGCCTTCACTGTTCTTTGAATTATTTAGTTTAATTAAAAAATCTAAATAATATAATTACTATTGTTAAATGAAAAATGACATTTTGTTATGAATAGGATAATATAATTACTATTTCTTTCACCAGTTAATTTTTTTTCTTAAAAAATAATATCATGTATTTTTTAATTTTTATTGATGAAAATATGTTTACTTTAATTTTAATATATTTAGCAGTAACTGATTAAATTGAGTATTAAAATATATTTTGGTTAAAATATATTTTTGATATTAGGAGACTAAGAGTAAAATGATTAAAATAATCATTGATACTATCCTTACTGAAATTCCAAAAATTCAAAGATTTTTAATTGACATATTTTGTAAATAACACGTCAGATAAAAGTTACTTTTATATAGTGTTTTGTTTTAGAAAGATAGATATTAAACTATTGAAAACATTTCTAGTATACATACAATAAAAGACAAATTTTGGCTATTATTCATTTGAATTATTGATTATAAATAGTACTAACTTACTAAGTAACACATGCAATTAAAAAAAAAACCTTCACTAAAAATATATGAAATAATATATTATTCATTTAAGTAATTGCTTTAAAATGGTATGGAGTAGCACATGCAATATAAAACAAACCTTCACTATAAAATATATGAAATAACTCTTTTTCAAAAAAAAAAAAATATATGAAATAATTATCCATTTCAGTTATTGATTTTAAATAGAATGGAGTAACACATCACTATAAATATGAAATAATTATTCATTTGAGTTATTGATTTTAAATAGAATGGAGTAACACATGCAATAGAAAACAAACCTTCACTAAAAATATATATTAAATAATATATCGTTCATTTGCGTAACTGATTTTAAAGGGTATGGAGTAACACATGCAATATAAAATAAACCTTCACTATAAAAATCTACGAAACGAATAAAGTAAGTATTATATATCTAAATTTTTCTTCTATCAAAACTGTCAAGGCAACGAAAAAAAAGAGAGAGAGGAAAATAAACAAGTATCTCTTCTTCATGCATTAAAGCATCGGAAACTCATTACTCCATTAGTGATGAATATTAATATATAAGCATAGGAACTTCTTTATTGTCGGTGATTAAGAATCATAGTTCAAGCTTCACTATGATTAAGAACTTGAAGGCGCATGAACGCGTGGAGATGAGGCAATTTCGTGGTTTTAGGCTTTTAGCCATGAAATTTAGGGGGGCTTGTGTGATACGATGGTTGTATGTGAAAATCAGACGTAAGGGTTTGCTGTCGCTTGTCACTTGTGATACGATGGTTGACTGGCTGTGTAAGTTTTTTTTTTTCTCGTTTTTCGCATGATAGACAGCACAAAATAAGACTGAGATGCCATGCTACAATATTCACGTTAACATATTACTTAAAGAGTCTGAACGACACAAAATCAATAGAAACTCATCAAACTTAATTGAGTTTGTAAGTTGGAGAAAAGGTAAATGAACAAGCTGATAATGATTTATGTAATACTTTGGAGAAGAAGAATAGTAATTAAGCTACCGCTGCTCCAGTTTCGCTGCCTCTAAGCTCATCCTCCTCCTTGGCCGCCACCGTTTTCTTCAGTATCGTATGGATAAGGATACTGAGAATAATACGTAGAAGCTGGTGGATGGTTGCAACAGCCTATCGGCGGAACACAAGGGCAGTGAGAACTTACGTGGAGGTGGTGGCGGTGGATTACCGTATGGAGGGTAGCCTGTTGAGGAAAGCGGTTGGTTACATATGGGTAAGGAGTGCAGAGACCAGAGTTTGAATCCAAAGCTGGGTTTGGGTTTACATTGACAAAGCTGAGAAGTGATTATAAGGGTTAACCATAATTAACTTGAGATTTTTAGGGTGGGATTATTAGCGGAAGTTAAAAAATTGTTTCTTAATTATTAACTAAAAAAAAATTTAAAATCAGTTCTTAAAGGACTTATTTAATAATAAATTCTAAGTTTTTTTTAGTTAAAAGTTAAGAAATAAATTCTTAACTTCCGCTAAGAACTCCACTTTAAAACTTTAGGTTAATCATGCTCTAAGAGGTATAGAGAGAGAACTTTTAAGAGACAACAAGATGATTTTACCTAGAGAAGATGAGTTTGATCTCCAGGTAGCAAGATGATATCAATATATGACTGAGAGTTGAGACTTGCAACAAAATTAACTGAAAATTTTCCAGTGTTTCGTATTATCCGCCGCATGGCATAACACATGTTGTAAGTGTTGGAGAATTTCTGAAGAAAAACGTACGTTTGCGTCTTTTGAATGAATGTAGACAAAATGTTGCCATGTAATGACAAGTTAAAACGGCTTTTTATTACTGTGGAATCTATAGCTTGCTGACTGTACGCTTGTACCAAATTCACCAAAAGAAAAAGATGTGTCTGGTCATGGGTATCGTGAATTTCAAGATGAGTGTGGAAAGTTTGAATCTTTTGTTATGGGAAAGATGAACTATGGACTTCAAGTACAGTAGTCACTAAAGAAGACCTAACTTTACGTTGGAGAGATTAAGGTCTTAATTGTTTTTCATCTATGAATAGGTTCAAGGCAGTGTTTTAAAGTAAGACATTTGCCTTGGGCCTTCTTAATACCAATCACATTTTAGGGCTTTTCATTTAAAAAAAATTATTTGGTAAATTATATATTATTTAGTTCTATTTTTTTATTTAAAATTTTCATATCCTAGAAAACTAAAATAGCATTAACAATCTCTATTTTTATAAATAATATTTAATTTTTATTCATAATCTATATTTTATTTTACTTTAAATTATTTTATTTTTGTTTCTTTTACACGACAATGAATGATTAGATATAAGTTTCTAGTGAGACCAGTCTTAGGGCATGATTATTACAAGGTTCTTAAGTTTGGGTCCTTAATACAGGTATATGTATATATACTAGGTGATTTTCCCGTGCTCATGCACGGGTATAAATATTTATTAAGTAAATATACTATAATAATTGATTACTATTTACTTTTAATTTTTAAATAATTTATAATTTGCATACATGATTTATATTAATAATATTATTTTACTTTAATTAGACTTATTATTTTAGAAATATTATATCTAGTCAATTTTATTATTTTATAGTCGATTTTACTGTTACTATTTGAGTATATTAGATTACATTCTTTTATCTGAATTCAACTATAATATTTTTTATTCTAAATATATTAAATTTTGTTTAGTTATATTATTTACTTTTAGGTTGTTTGCTGTCTCAGATGTCAATATATTTTAGAAAAGTTATTTATAACTTAAGATATATTATGCATGTAATGAAATATAAAATAATTTTGATTTCAAATTACATCAATCGATATAAAGATAATCTTTGAAGTCTCATGCATATATATAAATTTCACAAAATAAATCAAATTAAATTAATATTATTTATCTTTTAAATGTGCACGTATTTTCAATTTTCATAATATTTATCAAGTTATATGTTTCATTAAAATATAGTAGAAAATAAAGAAATAATTAGTAGGAAGTTACATACTTAAGTAACTCATATATTTTTGGAGATTCATGAACACATATCAATATTTACAATAACTAAAATATTTTATAAATTCTAAATAATTTTATATCTTAGATTTATTGAATGATAAACTGATATTATTTTAAATAATCTTTCAAATGAGAATTCGGATTTGCTTTGGTATTTTTATTATGGTTATATTAAGTTACACAAACATAAAAAATTTAAAAAAAATTAAAATTAAGAAACATATAATTTAAATAATGATAGAATATAACATATCTATGTCATTAAAGTATATAGTGGTATGATATTTTAAAATATTTTGTAATTATTTGATTAAAAGATGTTTATTGTTAAAAAATATTTTAATTTCTCTTAAAAATAAGCAGTAAAAATTGTGGTTGTATTTGAGAAATCATATTATATAAGT